ATGTTGAAATCTGTATTTTTGTAAAAATATAATATGAGATAATATTTAGATAACAGCGGAATAAATTTACAGCTGTGCTATTTTGTGTAAATATTTTTAGTAATAGGAGCTTTGATTGTTTAAAAAACAAATATTTGATTTTTATTACTAATGTTGTCAAAGGCTTTTTAAAAATTTGTAAATATTATTTTACAAATTCTAAATAGATTACTTCATGGGGAGCGAGATTGTTGAATTTTGTATAGGTGTATTCTAATATACATCTCCTACAGACTAAAAAAAAATAGAAAATAAATAGATAATTATTATTGTAATGATGTGAGGGACAAGATCTATGCGAAATTTTAAAAACCGACCTACTGGTAATCCGATATTGATACCTATTGTAACACAGACCCCCAGAGAGACATTTACAGAGTTGTACTAATCTGACAATAATATAATCACCAGCTGACAATAACAACAAAATAGTCAGAAATCAAATAGATTATATTATCGTCAACAGAAGATATAGAAATTCTATAATATCATCTAAAACTTATCCAGGAGCGGACATATCCTCCGACCACAACCCGGTTGTTTTGTCGATGAGAGTGAAACTAAAGAAGATCAACAGCCCTAGCACCAAGAAAATCATAGATACAAGACGTCTCAAACAAGACAACACATATGTGGAAACCAAATTTAAAATAAACGAGAGCTTAAGGAAAGTCAAAGAAGATAATGCAGAAACTCTAACTATTGACCAAAAATGGGGAAAAATTCAACATGCCCTTGTGTCAGTTGGAAAAGAAACCCTCAAACCACTTAAAGAAAAAACAAAACCTTGGATGACAGTAGAAATTCTTGAACTTATGGAAGAACGAAGAAAACATAAAGCAAAAGACCTGAATAAATACAAAGAAATTCAGAGAAACATCAGAAAGAAAATTCGAGAGGCAAAAGAGAGGTGGCTCTCCGATAGATGCAAGGAAATAGAAGATCTGGATATAAAGTACGATAGCTTTAATTTACACAAAAAAATCAAAAAAATGACAGGTTCTAGAAAGCGCACAAAAACGAATATCCTTAAAAATGATAAAGGGGATATTATTACTGATATGAAGGAGAGATTATGTCACTGGACCAATTACATTCAACAACTATTTAATGATGAAAGAGAAGAACTGTCATTAGAAATCACCGAGGATACTGGACCACCAATATTAAGAGAAGAAGTCATCTATGCCATCAAAAACACAAAAGAGGGTAAAGCTACTGGACCAGATGAGGTGCCCATCGAATTATTAAAACTCATCGATGAAGATGTTTGTAGATGAAGATTGATGTAATGGTTGAACTCTTTAATCTAATATATCAGACTGCCACAATCCCCAGACAAAAAACCAAGTTCAACAACTTGCTCAGACCACAGAACAATAGCTTTAATGAGTCACACACTTAAAACATTTTTGAAAATAATTCACAGCAGAATTGTTAAAACTCTTGAATATGAGATTAGTGACACACAATTTGGCTTTAGAAATGGTATGAGTACAAGAGATGCTTTGTTCGGCTTGAATGTGCTGGCTCAGAGATGCATGGACATGAATCAGGATATGTACTTATGTTTTGTAGACTTTGAAAAGGCATTTGATAAAGTTCAACATAAAAAGCTTGTAGATATATTAAAAAGCAAAAATATTGACAGTCGTGATCTGAAAATTATATCTAATTTATATTGGAATCAAACTGCCAAGGTAAGAGTTGACAGCCAGTACACCGAAAATATCAAAATACAGAGAGGAGTCCGCCAGGGTTGCGTGCTGTCCCCACTACTTTTCAATGTCTACAGTGAAGCGGTATTTCAAGAAGCGCTCTCAGACTCAATAGAAGGTATATCTATCAATGGAGAAGTTTTGAATAACTTACGTTTTGCAGACGATACAGTAATAATTACGGATAACAACAATGATTTACAGAACCTAATGCAACGCCTTAATGAACGCTGTCATGACTACGGACTGAAGATAAATTTAAAGAAAACTAAATGCATGATCATGACTAAATCTGCACATGCAAATATCCAATTGACTATTGAAGATACTGCAATTGAGAAGGTTAATAACTATAAATATTTAGGAACATGGATAACATCAGATGTAGACCAAACCAAAGAAATTAAGACACGTATTGAAATAGCACGTACATCATTTATTAAACTTAAAAAGTTTCTTTGTTGTCGGGATATAAGGTTAGAACTACGCCTGAGAATGCTTCTATATTACGTGTTCTCTACTCTTCTTTATGGTCTGGAAGCTTGGACACTCAAACAAGTTCATCTGAATAAGCTGGCCGCCTTTGAATTTTGGTGTTACAGAAGAATCCTACGAATATCATGGATTCAAAGAATGTCAAACATGGAAGTAACTAGAAGGATAGGAAATGAGGCGGAAATAATATTAACTATTAAAAGACGAAAACTTGAGTACTTGGGACATGTGATGAGAGGGCAAAAATATGCATTAGTACAACTTATTATGCAGGGCAAAATCCGAGGAAAGCGAAATGTGGGAAGACGAAGAATATCCTGGCTTAAGAACTTAAGGGAATGGTTTGAATGCAGTAGTGCAGAACTTTTTAGAGCGGCAGTCAACAGAGTCCGCATAGCCATGATGATTTCCAACCTTCGATAGAAGATGGAACTTAAAGAAGAAGAACTAATCTGTATCACAGCATTCAAATTAAATTATCGGAGAAAGTGTTGAATTTCGAATTATTAATTTGTGTACTTAAATGTTTTTACCAATTGATCGAAATACTGATTATGTTTAAAGTAAACTACCTAATAATATAGTATTTAGAAAACTTTACCTTCACCTTTTTTCAAAATTAAGACTGGCAAAATAAAATATTTTTTCAGTTACGAAAATAAAAATTTTTTTTGGTGGATTTACAAGTTTTTTTATTAACCGTGCTAGGTTCGTCAATGAACACTTAATATTAATATATTATACAGTGAAGTCCTAAAGTAACGGATAAATGTAATTTCTACATAATTATAAAGTCGATGAAAACTACTGAACCTAAAACCTGAAATCAAATTGACTTTCTTATGTAGAAAGTACGTGTACGTTTATAAAATTTAAAATTATCTAACAGAAGAGAAGTATGGTCTAAGTGATCAGTAATATTCTGCATTTGAGAAGTAATAAATTTGATATCAGAGTGAACCGCAGATATATAAGAACTTAATAATCGTGCCCTCACCTGTCTATTCAAATTTTGACTTCTCCTTTGAAGTCTCACACTGGTAGATCCCGTGGTGGATAACGTATTATTGAAAAAATCCACTAGGAAACTAAGTTCCTGTAGCTGGCTGTATACCATATATCACAAAAAATTTATTTCAAATCCTTTATAAAAGGTATAGAAGAAAATGCCCAAACGGGCTATCACAAATATATTACAAAACGTTTGTAATCAGTTATTATCAACAGGTCCTCGAAGACACTTCAGGACCATTTCACCTATGTAGGGTCATACGTCGCCATGTTACCAATTCCAACGGTAACTTAAACATCATAATTTGTAACCACATTAAATGTAAAACAACTGTAAATTTATATCATTTACAGGGTTTTGACCTATATATTTTGGTGGCTCATAGCATGTATACCTGGTTTGCACTGATGATGGATTTAACAATCCGAAAACGTTTTGTAATATATATGTGATAGCCCGTTTGGGCATTTTATTATATACCTTTTATAAAGGATTTGAAATAAATTTTTTGTATTATTGAAAGTGTTATCAATGATAAATTTTGGAACTCTCTTAATTTTCCTACACATGAGTAAAAAAGATCTTCAAAAAAATATATATATTATATAAGATATACAATTATTTTTAGCTGAAACAGCATTCAGAAATATTTATTATAGAATACTAGAAGATGAGGAGTTTCCTAAGAGTAGAATGAAGATATTTTTTAATTATTGGTGGCATACTGTCCTGTACGCTTACTTATACAGAAAGCAGCCTTTTACGGCTTACGTCGCGGGCTATCTGATCTACCTACTCAATTTTAAATATTTAGTTATCTTTTGGCTCCTGCTTTAATGTGTCCTAATATATCTTCTTCTTATGGTGCCCTATCCAATTAGTGGATGTTGGCGACAATTCTGGAATACTCTTCTCGATCTTGTGTGGCTCTAAAAAGTGCATGGGCATCGAGATTTGTCCAATCCCTTATGTTTTTAAGCCATGAGTATTTCTTTCTTCCTATGCCACGTTTTCCTTCTATCTTCCCTTCCATAATGAGCTTTAAGAACTGGTACTTGGAATTTTGAAATATATGACCCAGATAAGCAGTTTTTCTTCTTTTTATTATTGGCAGCAATTCTCGTTCTCTGCCCATTCGATTTAATACTTCCACATTTGTTGTGTGATCTGTCCAGGGAATTTTAAGTAGTCTTCTGATTGCCCACGTTTCAAAGGCCTCCAATCGCTTCATCACATTGGCCTTTATGTTCCAGGTTTCTACACCATATAGCAGTATGGAGTAAATGTAACATTTTACAAAGCGGTATCGAAGCATTAAGTTGAGGCTGCTGTTGCTTAGCAAGGTTCTCATATTAGTAAATGCTGTTCTGACTTGCTCAATCCTGCTACGTATCTCTATGTCTGGATCTAGATCTTCAGTTATCCAACTACCGAGATATCTGAACTTGGGGATCTTTTGGATGTTCTTGTTGTTTACTCTTATATTCAATTGCATATTTCGTGTTATACTAACCACCATTACCTTCGTCTTGTCTATATTAATCTTCAAGCCCAGTCGTTCTCCTTCAGTGTTTATTCTATCTATTAGTCGTTGTAGCGCTTCTTGGCTATCAGCTATTATGATTGTGTAGCATAGCGAAGATTACTAATAGTCCTAATCTATATAAAATGTTAAATCTATTGTGAATACTTTTACGGATCCTTTGTTTAAATTTATATTTTATTATCTGTTTCAGGCTGCTGGAAGGCACCAATGTAGCTACCTGATAACGCTACAGAAGCAGGAGTTTCTTTTACAAAGAGGCGATCCTAATTGGTTAAAAGGCCTTGAACACATACCAGCCAAACTTAGAAATCTCAACGATATCAATAAAATTCTAGCGCATAGGCCTTGGTTGTTAAATAAATCTCATATTGAGGTAAGTGTGCTCTTAAATACTTGTGGTTTGATAATTTAGTATATCAAAATTCTATTAACCCAACAAGTAGATGTCGTAAATGATCGGCTTAATATAGAAAAATTACTTTTACTTTTCAATACTGTTTATAAATAATGGTTTATAACGTGCTACGCCGTCTTCCGATTAGAAAATAGTTCAGCATGATTGGACGCGAATCGCAAGATCGCACAGAGGCGCATTCACAGGTCCAAAACACCAAATTATGCATGTACCAAACATTTCCTGTAATAAATCGTTTGCGGCACGCCCTGCTTGAAATATTGCACTATCTTGTTGAAATCTTAACTCACCAACATCAAATAAATTAAATTCGGGAACAATAATGTCACTGATCATGACTCCATAGCGGTCACCATTCACTGTAATTTCTGGCCGGCATCATTTTGGAAAAAGTAAGGATTAATGATTTCATTAGCCTATAAAGCACACTAAACAGTCAGTTTCTTATGTAACGGCGTCTCAGTAATTGCTTTAACGTTATCTGTCACCATCAAATGCGGCAGTTTTTGCTAATTGACTTAGACATTTAATTAAAAACAAGCTTGATCAGTGAAGAATAGTTTCTTATGAAAATCGGGGACAGACAACGGCACGATTTAAAGAAGGACCTTTAGGGTCCGTAATAATATTTACAACTCCGTTATTAATTACAATGATTTCGACGCTTCCTTGTGAAAGACCTTTGGAAGCAGTGAACCCATTTCTACTAATTCCATGAGGCGACAGTGTGTATAACCTTAAAAGAATTATTATATTAAAAAAACATTCATTTAATTTTCTTAAACGGTAATTTCTAAAATTAGATTACGCTTGTGCTTGTTCATGTATCGTAACATTCATTTTATTCAAACAGTATATGTCTTTATTTACTCGAAATAAAGAACATATTAATAGATCTTTGAAAATATTCAGGGGATATTTTCGTAAGTCTAATTAAGCGCCAGAAGAAAATTAAAAAGTATATAAATCTTCTAAATATCAACATATTAAAAAATACAAATTGTGTTAGATCAATATACATCAAAATATTTTTGTATCTGTACATAGCTCCTGTAAATTCTTTCCCAAGTTAATTTGCTCCTTTTCTAACTTGACTGCTGTATTTATGTCGACCAAATAAATAGTTACGTATTTACGGTTTGCCTTTCATGTGTAGTAATTTTCTGAAATAGGCTGTGCTATCTCCTAAAGAACTAGCGTTGCAATATGGCAACATGCATTTTTGAAAAAACTACAAAACTTTTTTAAAAATAATAAATATTTTGGTTTTAACTCATTGGGGATTAACTTTAACAAAAAATCGACAATTTTCGAATAAGAAATTAATTCGGGCTTTAATGGGTTAACACCTTTATAAAAACTCACTTAATTTGCCGCAAAATATAACAATTGCATACGAAAGCTGTACTCTTCAAGTTAAAAACGCATTTTGATTTTTGACGATAGGACACTCAGATCAAAAGATATCGAATTTTTACCGTTGTGTTGATAACTCACCTTCAAAATCACCGGTAGCTTTAAGCGTTGTTTTTGAGATAATGGTTCATTCTACACAAAAAATGCTAATAAACATTTTTGTTAAAAATTATCTTAGCTTCATTGTTTTACTCGAAATTTTTTTTTTCTGCGATGTACAGATTTTTGTTAAATCTATTTTTCTTTTCATCATCTGTTTTATGTCCCAAAATTAAAATTATAGGCAAAATTATGAGTTTTAGAAGGTAAATGGCATTTTCGTCTCTGACGACTCGAGTAAAAGACTGTATTTTTCCTATTTTTGGTGGAACTATTTCCAAAAACCATTTGTAAACATATTTGTGATGATCTCATGAGCTAACTTACTTCGATTATTTTGTAGTGGGATCTGATTCTTTATGTACTATAACAAAATCATAAAACAGTTACACTTTTGTTTAGTTTTACTCTTAAATTATATAAGTCTTAAGCTTAAGTATTCCTTTCCTTTTCCTTTGAATTAAATTTGATCTATTTTAATTTTGTTTTAGAAATTAACCAAAGGCAAGGACAGTTGGTCGTTGGCAGAAGTAGTTCATGCCATAGTGATACTAGCCCACTTCCATTCACTTTCAAGCTTCGTCTTTTCCTGCGGGCTCAACCAAGAACTAGACCAACTAGCCTCTGGTTACCAATATCACAGTGATACTACCGTTACAACCAAAACGAATAGCAATAAGACCAAACCCAAAGACATACCGATCGTAGATCCGAGCGCAGAACCACCTGAATGGAAAACCACCTCGACCACTCCACCGTCTCCCACTGAACCTGAAGTAGGAATCAGCACTTTAATGCAGCGCATGAAAACCTTGTCGGAACAGCAGCCGGAGTGTAAGCCTGAAGAATTAGCCAAAAGATTCGAAAGTATAGAAAGTCAATCTGCGGAAATAGGGGCTGTGGGTACGCAACCGGAATCTACTCCGGCAGATATTAGTTGTTACGTCGAGGACGCTGGCTTTATGTACATAGATTTTGCCAAGAGAGGCGATTCACAAGATATAACAACCTTTAGAGTACAAGACTATTCTTGGGATGACCATGGGTATTCCTTAGTAAACAGGTAAGTAACTTTAATCATGTCAGGACGTATTTCTACTAGGTTATGTATTAAAATATTGTAAAAATGTAAAAAAGGTTAGAAAAAGTTTTTCGTTACCTTTCTTTAGGAAAAAATCTTTAAGAAATATAGTTATAGCCGAATTCACAGTGTTCATATTATGCACTTAATACAGTTCATATTATGCATCCTATTAGGTGATCATCGGAAACAAGTTCTCCCATTTTAATGTGTTTTGTTTAATGTGTTGTTGTTTTCGTTCTGTTTTTAAGTGTTTATGATTAAACAACCCGTCCTCCAAATATCAATATCTTTATAAAACAATCTAAACCATGTAATCTATTTTCTTCTTTTTCTTCCTCTTTATAAGCTATTTTGCTTGTTCATTGGCGGATTAATACCTTTATGGAAGGTTGTCACTCCATCGGTTGCGCGGTCGTCCGATACTTCTTTAGCCGATTCGTGACTTATCTCTTGCTATTTTGACGACACGGGTTTCCTCCATTCTGCTTATGTGGTTATTCCATTCTTTTTTCTATTTGGTGTCCATTGATTTATACACTGTACGTTACATTTCCTTCTAATGCTTCACTTCTGTTTCGATCTCTCAGCGTATTTCCTGTAATTCTTCTCAGTACTGTCATCTCTGCCGTTTCCAGTAGCATTTGCGTTATGGCTGTATCGAGTCTTGTTTCTGAGGCATATGTCATTATTGGTCTTACACTGGCTTTATAAATTCTTGATTTCATCTGAGTGTCAATGTGTCTGTTTCTCCATATAGTGTTATTAAGGCATCCTGTCAGTCTATTTGCTTTTTGTACTTGATCTCTCACTTCTTTGTCCAGGTCTCCATAGCTAGACAGTGTAATTCCCAGGTACTTTATTTCCATTACTTGTTCAATATCTGGTTGGTTCTTTACTTACTTATTTACTCCATGGCGTTACAACCCTTCGTGGGTTTTAGCCGACTCGACAACATGCCTCCACTGTTTTCTGTCTTGAGCAACTTCCACCCAATTCTCCACGCCCATAGTGCTTAGGTCTTCTGCTATATTATCTCCGATTATCACCCGATTATCACCGGAGACGAGGGCGTCCGCGTGATCTCCTTCCAGTTGGGACTTCCTCCCACACCAGGCTTACTATTCGTTCATCAGAATGTCTTCTGAGGTGTCCTGCCCATTGGAGTCTTCTGGACTTTATTTCTTTTATGATGTTAGCGTCTGGGTAAAGTTTTTTCGAACTCTTTGTTAGTTCTTATCCTATATTGTCCTGATGCTTTATCCAACACAGGACCAAAGATCTTCCTTGGGATTTTTCTTTCCCAAACACATAGTCTCTCTTCGTTTGCCTTTGTTATCGTCCACATTTCGCTTCCATACATCACAAAGGGTCGTATGATTGTTTTATAGATCTGTATCTTCGTACGTATTGTTAGTTGTTTCGATTTTATAAGGTTTTGGAGGGCAGAAAGACATCTGTTGCCGGCCTGAATCCTGTTGTTTATTTCTTATGATCCGTTATTCTCTTCAGTTATTGTTGTTCCAAGATACTTGAATTCTCTAACGCGCTCAAAGTTAAAGTCATCGATGGTGATGTTCTGACCGATTCTGTCTCTGCTTTGGTTATCGCGGCTCATATACATATATTTCGTCCTGTTTTCGTTGATTTGGAGCCCCATCTTCTCTGCTTCCTTCTCGAACCTCACGAAAGTCTGCTTCATCCTTAATCGTGTGTTTCCTATTAGGTCGATATCGTCTGCAAATGCCAGTAGTAAGTTTGGTCCTTCTCGATCATCATCATCAATGGCGCTACAACTCTTCGTGAGTCTTTGCCGCGTTTACTATTGCCTTCCATGTTTGTCGGTCCTGTGCCAGTAATTCCCATTGTCCTTCTCGATGAAATACTCTATTCGGTTTTTCTATTCTTGCACTTCTGATTATGTGCTCCAGAGCTAAGTTGAAGAGTTGTAGTGAAAGTGCATCTCCCTGTTTTAGTCCATTGTTTATTTCAAATGTCTCAGAGTATTGTTGTCCAACCTTACATCGTACCGTTCCATACACATCCGGTTGGTTCTCTGCTCACTACTATTATTTTAGTTATCTGAGATATAATGGTCATATTAAATTCTTTGCTCTTGTGTTAAATCTGTGGACCAGTTTTTGCAGACTATCTTCATCTTGGGACATATTGCGTGTCCGCGTAACAGAGTATTTTGATTTCTTTGTTTGCCATTCTGTATCCTCTTCCTTTGTTAACGCTTTTGATGATTTCATCCATGATCAAATTAAAGAGCATGGGGCTCAATGAATCTATCTACAAATCTATTAATGAATCTATGCTATTTTATATTTTATAAGTTGTTCTTCTCTAAATGAACGCCTCTATATGAATGGACAACCACCTTAATAGTTAATCAAAATGTCATCTAGATAGTATGTCAGTTATGCATACTTTAAAATATATAATACTTTTTCCTGTTTCAGACTTTACAACGACGTAGGAAACCTGTTGGACGACAAGTTTAGAACAGCATACAATCTAACTTACTACACAATGGGCAGCCGTACTGACGTAGACACTACCAGATTCCGTAGGGCTATTTGGTATTATATCCAATGCCTCTTTGGAATTAGGCATGACGACTACGACTACGGAGAGATCAATGCTTTATTAGAAAGAGCCTTAAAAGCTTTCATCAAAAGCGCTACTTGTTATCCTGATAGAGTTACTAAGAAAGAATATGATAGGGTTTTAAGGGAATTTCACTATAGTGAAAAGGTAAGTTTGCATAGAGGAATCGGATGAAATTAATGCTATCTGTATCCAAATCCTGTCAAAATAAATTTTGTTTATCAATTTCGGCCTGTGCTGTTCACTTTTCTGTCATTTTATTGGTAGGGGAAGGGTGTACAAAATGACATTTACACAAGGGTGCACAAAACATTTTTTTTAACAAAACTTGGATAGAACACAAACTAAAGTATTTGAAACACTTCAGACAAGTTTTTAACAAAGTAAGAGAAAATATAAACTTTTAGTCAACATAAACATAAAAATGAACAAGAAAAGTTCATTTTACCTCAACTGGCGGGCAAAATGACACATTAATAGCGATTCAGTCGGTGCAAAGCTCGCAAACAAATATTTTTGTTTTCTTGTATAGTCCGGCACATTCAGCATGTGCCCACTTTTGGCACGAACAACAACATAGCCATAGGTCACCTTTTTTAGACAACTTGTACAGTTCTTTATAGTAAATGCAAGCAGCATCATAATTTTCTTCATCAGCTCTTTCGTTTTCCGACTCGCATTTTATAAAAACATCCCTTTTTGCCGTTCTTTTTATTTTTTCGGTTTCCTTTTTTCTTTTGCCTCCTCTAAATTTGGAGTTGAGTTAAGAATAGAAGTGCCTTGACGTTTCCTTGCCTTTCTTTTTCCCTGACCTGAAACGAATGGTCCGACTAGAACTGGTCTTAAATCTGCCGGAGTAACCACTAGTAAAATGCCACTTGTTGCACTTTGCAAGTTTGACTGAGCTGTCATCACATTAGGGACTTCTATGGTAGAAGTGGAAGGTCCAGGTTCTTGACATTATTATATAATTAACACTATCTACTCCAATATTTGTAGTCTCAGATGCTTGAAACATGTAGTCGGGAGAATATATCGGGGTTTATTGGGTAGATACCAGTTTTGAAAAATCCATGAACAGCATTCTGGACATTAACTACTTTTCTATATGCTTCATTTAACTGACCACCAATTTGAAACTGAGTCAAAAGTCGATCAGGATGAGCTTTGAGCCATTTGGTTATTTCTTGGTCATAATAGGTTTTGTGTGGACCAAAAAATGCTACATCGAGAAGTTGCATCCGATGTGTACAGTGAGCCGGCAAACATAAAAGTATAATGCCATTTTCTTTGGCGTACAGAAGAGTATGAAAATATTTATGACTTGAATGTACATCCACAATTAACAAAACCTTCTCGGTGGAGGGTGTCTTGGCCTATTTTTGGAAATACTGCAACCACTGTAAAAATACTGGACCCGTCATCCAGCCAGTCTCCTGGGAATACATAAAGTTCCTGCTGGTGGTATATGGTCAGCTAATTCATTTTTCATATTTTTTCGTGAAAATATTAAAATAGGTGGAATATAGCTTCCGTTGGTGCAGATACAACAAACAACTGTCACGTGAGAACCTCGTTATTCGCTGGTAATTGCACCTACTTGTTTGCGACCGGCTGTATCAAACACTTTCTGCGGGCGTTGTATGATAGATAATGCAGATTCATCTTAAGAAGAAAGATTCATTTTCAGAAAACTTAAGATGAACCAGAAAAGTAATTGACTAGCGCCCAAGGGAGCAGAGGACAACCACCAACACGCTGGATGGACGACATTAAACGAATATCCAAGAAATGGCAACAAGATGCACAGAACTGTGAAGAGTAGCTAAACATGGGAGATACCTATGTCCAGCAGTGTACAGAAGAGGTTGCATGATGATGTTTTGGAATAGTTCGGTTGTGGACGTGTTGCACCACTTCCTTAGGTTTTGATGATAACAGATATTCTTCTTCTCCCTGATCCTCTCTTTCCAAATACCTTGCCCTGAAGAATGAGTTGCAATAAGCCATATCTGTGTTCATTTCTCATAACATGGCCAAGATATTCTAGGACTGTTTATGTTAGTATCAAGTTTTCTACTCTGTACCTATTGTTCTATTTTATATCCACTTGAACTTGGTTCTACCTCATTTTCTAGTTCATATCAACTACGCAGGTGTCATTCTTTGTATCGTATTTGTGAAATGTATTCTGTCAATTGGAATATGATAGATTTTTTGTCGTTGTGGTGCTGTGGAAGCACCACAGTTTGTGATTCTTCCATCTGGTTCAAATGATTGTTCATTGTCATTTATAAACAAAGAATTTTATATTTATAAACAAACACAAGATTGAAGAAAGGAAACAACACTATACCAAAAGAAATCCAGAATTGCTCATAAGATGGGTTTTGAACATAACAGCAATACCAAATGTAAAGAGCGTATCAGAAAAATTAAAAGGGATATGACATAAATACATCACAACAAAATTCAAAACAACCATTACACTGAGTTCCATGCCGTCCAAAACATACACCGTATCAAACCAAACAACCCACAATGTAGATCAAAGAACTGCATCTATAAAATACCTTGTCAACTCAACAATTTTTATGTGGGAGAAACCTCAAGACTACTAAGTGTTAGGATAAACGAGCATGGATCATGCGAGACTTCGGCAGATCCCAGATGTGCACATGCCTGGGATAATGAGCACGATGTAGTCATTCCTTTGTGTGCACTGTAAAGTACATCCTACAATTCTATTTCATATAGTTTGAATATGATTTTATATTGTTACATAGTTTTAGACTTGTTTTTTATACTGTATTTTTTATTTCAGGTCCACGTAAACTTAATGGTTCTTGAATCAAGAATGCAAGCTGAACTGTTATACGCCCTAAGAACTGTGAATCGATACATGACAAACTAAGGCAAAGGAAACTGGCACGTTTTGATTTTGGAAGCTTCAACAGCTTCATTGTTATTTCTCCACACTATGTACCTAAACCTTAGGTAATGGTTTTGAGTTCAAATACTCTACCTATTGAGAAAACTGGGGGAAAACGAAAAAGTCTGGAGAATATTTCTAGTAATGCACAAAACTACAAGAAATCTTGTTTTTTATTAATTGTTGTAAGCTATAGTATATTGAGTGTTATATCTGTACGGAGACATTTAAGTTCATGTGGTATATTGTATGTTTTTCAGTGTTACGGTATCTAGTTTTTTTTTTAATTTTTGAACAATGTGTTAATATTTTTTATAATTATCGACTTCTACTGTATATTGAATTATATTATAAAACGGTAGAAATTATATAGACCAGTCTAGGAGTGTCTCTTGTAGGGACTATTGAGTCATATTGAGTTTTTGTAATAATTGACAACAAAATGCTTCCACCTTGTACGAAAGTGTATTTGGTATAGTACTGATAAGGCACAAAATAAGTACTCTTTAGGTGGAATTATTCGATTTTTAACATAACCTCTACCAATAATTTGCTTTTTTTTCTTGTCTTTTATCTGACATATAATATGGGCGTTCCTTGTTACGACATAATTTTTTATAATGTTATTATATCTTATTCTTGTTAACAAACCCAACTTATTTTATATCTATGTGTTTCGATAACAAGTAATCAAGTGACACTTTACACAAAAACTCAAAATCTTGGCGAAATCCTTCCTACATAGAACTCAACTTGGCCTATTTAGTGTGCATATTGAATATGTGACTGCACTTGTATATATCTTGAAAGAATTATATCTCATTACCTGTGTGTAAATTATGTACATAAATAAGTAGTCACGGAAGTCAGCGCTCTCTGAAAAATATTTTTTTAAACGAAAAAAATCCACCTTGTACAGCAAGTGACTTCCATTTTGTGTTTTTTTAAGATCTATCATTTTTTAAGAACGTGATTTATGAAAGTGAGAAAAGCGTCAAACTTTTTAACAAAAGTATACCCTTTGAATTTAAGCAGCATCTTCCAAAATAATGGCAAACAACTAGTTAATCCTGACTAACATTGACACTGGTATTTAATTAAACAAGATGCATGTTTCTCACAATTCTAGTAATATTTTGCCGTTAAAGATAACATATACAACTGTTGTAATGATAAGTAAAAACTAAGGCCTATACTTTTGTTGTTCGAGTTGACAGAAACATTATATTTACCAAAATCCTTCCATTTTTTTCAAAAAATTCATTTTAAGAGAGGCAGTGATGGTTTTCGTAAACCTTTATAATGATTGTAGATCGCAAGAACGTGAACAAACTATTGAAACTCGCTTCATATAATTGAAAAGAAAGATATGTATAAAAATCCTTTTTTTATCTATAAATTCTCTCTTATTTTTGATTGATTATTATAAATATTGTATTTTCTAATTTAATTACCATAATTCTTTATCAATCGTAGTTTGGCAATTTTGCCATGTAATATCTCGACATTTTGGTGATATTCGGAATACTTATATTAATCTTGTACACTTCAGAAAAGATTAGTGCCCTACGTTGGGCGCCAAACTTGGTAGCTATATTGTTACACATTTAAAAGAAAAACTACAATAAAAGATCTTGTGTTAGCTGATAGCATAATTTTTAATATCTTAGCTTGCCACGAGGTTAAAAAATAATAAAAAAGATTAGCAATGACAAGGACAATATAATTTACACAAATATATATGAATTTTTATTGAAACAAATGAATAAAGTTAAAATTGCATTTGAATTTGAAATTGAAATGTGTAAAAAAGCAAGAAAATTATCAACTGTAAATAAAGAACAATGAATATTTATAAAATGTTAACACTCGCCATAAGAAAATATTAAACAAAATATTTGAAGCTGGTCTTCTTTCACCGGTTATCATCTTAGTTCCAACAATTTGTTCACAGTCTTGATATTAGGTGTAGTGAAGTCCTGCCAATAACGTTATTTGATGATATAGAGTGATGATCATATAGATTATATTTTTTCAATTATCACTATGATTAAACGACTGATTACCAAGAATCTGTATATTAGAATCGACTATATAAACAATATCAAATACAAAATGAATTTTAGCAGAGAGAACTATTCAGTTACTGATTACATCAAGTATTGAAAAAAAAAGAAAATCAAAAATCCACTTCCAAAAAAAAATTGTAACCCCCTAAATTTTACGTCTTGATCTCAGTATTAATATTAATTTCTTTAGTATAGTTCACTGCCATATATTTTAGCCTAAAAGATTTGCAAATATCAATTGTTGCTTTTTAATTTATCATACAATTGGAGCTTCCAAAACAAGGTTTTTACTAAGGGCTTATCCAAATAGTACAATTTCTTTAACAAAATTCAGAAAATGTTAGCCCTTAAGAGTATGCTGTAACGTTATAGAACTTTTTAATTTGAATATTTGGAAAATTGCTTTAGATTAGAAACTGTCAGAAGAAAATACAGTTCATAGTGGTTATCATTTTATATCTGAGCATTGATTCTTTGAGCTCTTTGATTTCATTGAGCTGCTAACATGACGATCCGTCGACCTTTTTCTTTATATCGGATAGGGACTAGCAGTGGTGAAGAAGACCTACTAAATCTACAGATTACCATAACTAAATCTCAGGGTGCAACGGAAACTATGTTGAAAAAACAAAAAAGATAAAAAAAATATCTCTTACCAACAATTTAATATTTTTAACAATGAAGAAATGCTATTTAAGCAGTTTTTTAAGATTATTGAATCTTATTAAGTACATTTAATTAAAAATAATAAGTATGAATGTCTGAAATAACATATTAAATGTATATTATATCTGAGGAACTAAAGAAGCAGAATCAAAATTATATAAATAAAAACTAAACAAAAGCTTAAATACAACAAAAAATGTAGCGGTTGAAGTTCAAGAAAGCTTACCCGAAAACTGAACGAGCTAACACACTCACTCGATGGGTTCAAAACACGCCGGGGATCACAAAATAAAAATTTAGACAGCAAGTTAAAAGCAAAAATTCGTCCATAATTTTTAATTAGATTACGCCAGTAAACAGTCGATGGATGAGTAGTACGGTGAGAAATAAAAACTTCGTCTCAGTCTCATTCATTTCACTGATCCTTACAGAAAGGCGTTGAGATGCTAGAAACCCGGAATACAGATAGATTTTTAAGAATCTTGGAATCTTGTTAGAATAACTTGGTCGTTCACATCACACTGACACTTTTAGGAATCACACAAGTTTATTTTTAGTAATATCCAAAGTAAAATTATAAAATTGCATAACGTTACATTCGTACTCCCTCCACAAAAACAAACTTATTGGCCATTCTGCATCTTTTAAGTTACTTCGCTGAAATTGTTTATTATGTTAAAATGTTTATTAATACATAGTTCTCAACATTATTCTCTTTCTTCATACAGACAGGATACAGAGTTTAGTGATTTTCAAACAGAATTGGGGGTGGAAATATGTTCTGATAATTTGACCTGAATCGTTTGGTTTTGTAGACGATTTATGAAAGATCTTTTGTGTATATCCTACTTTGTGGCTTTCACGTTTGTTGACTCAACAGGAGTATCGAAATATTGCTTCTATAAGTACTTAAATATTTAGCGGGTCCAGTATGCTCACTCGCTGGTCTTATTACGCTCCTTGTTAAGCTTTATCGCGGTTTAACTGAGTATTTTCTCGCTTATTATAAGCCTGTATGTATGATGTACCTTTTGATACCTTTGATACGTCATCTCGTATGACGACTTTTCTATACTAAAACTGTTTTTAAATAGTGTCATTTTAACGAACGTAGCCTGTGAATTCTTTGGTTAAAATTTAATGGCTGTATACTAAAGCTATATGAAACCAAAGAACAAGGAGTCCATGACCATTGGAGACCAATTACTCGAATGATTCAGTTTGTGTTGGATAACCTAACTAACCTTTCGAATTCCTTTAACATCACATTTTGATGCAACTAGTGAGAGATCTTCGATCCATTTACTTGTAGTAGAATGACGTGAACATCCATTATGTTAGTCATCACCGATATCTTACGACATATTTGTACCCTTATGAAACCAATTGGTAAAAGATACACTAAGCTCTGTATTCTATTTGTGTACTCGGCGAAGCGCCAAATTGTTTTGTTTCTTTTATATAAAAAGTGTATTTACACATATTTTGTACCTTATTGAAAGGGTGTGATCAAAATAATTTTTTATATTATGTTCAAAGATGTCTTAAATATTTTATTATATTGTATATAAAATCTGACTATAATTTAAATGTAGATCCACCCTTGAAAAAATATTCTTTATATTTTTACGTAATGCTGTGATTAAAGTTTTTGTGTATTTATTTGAAACAATGTATATATTCGGCCTTCTTTTATTTTTGTGAAAAACAATGAACATTTTCTTCCCAAAATTATCTTACTATGTTTTTTTAATTAGCAAAACAATCATATTTGATGCAAAAAGTACAAATTGTGATGAACTGAACGAATTGTGTAAGGGTTTCATAACTTCAAGAACATAGTACAAGTCAATCAAAGTTTTGGCATACAAGGTACACAAAATCTCATAATTAGGTATTTTTACTTGAATAATTTTAAAAAATTTAATTTTGTATACGTGTCGACTTCATTTATAATATTTTTTAAGTACATACATATCATATATCATTATTTATTGAGTAGTATATAAGGGACGACAATATGAACTTTTACAAAAGGTTATGAGCACAACTGTCGTTGTCCCTACATACTGATATACCGGGAGAACTATTTCCCTTTCTTAATCTTCCGTCGCATATCTTTTAATTTTGTGTCCAAATCCATCCGTTTTTTTATATATTTGTTGTAGATTTGCCTGCACTAATTTCGGTCAGACAGGTAAACGGATCGCAGACAATCTATGAATACCCCTTTTGATTGCATTATATTTTATTATTATCTCAGCGGAAACTGCTTTGTGATATAAACAATAAAACCACTTTGCTAAAATAATCGTATATCCTGAATCATATAAGTGCAGTCTTCAAGAATACCTATATGCACATCTCTTAACCATTTGGTGCTGAGGCTATTTCTTTTCTACTAAATATGTCTGTTGTGTATACCATAAGTTATACCATGCATTTTACAGGTAAATAGCCTGGTGATTGGTGATCAATCTATCCGTGGTCGCCATCTACCGGAATAATTATGTCAGATTTTCCTTATTCCTAACACAACTATATAGAGCTCATCGACTGTAGAGTGTCTGGTGGTTAAAATCGTGTGTGTGCTAAATAAAATAGTACAAACGTTGCCGTGTACGTGCAACTTGAGGGAGGGACTAATCATTGCCACGTTATTATCGATGAGCTGTATTGT